TGTTCAGACTGGCATCAGTATTCATGATTATATAACCCTTAGGTGGTAGTGACCACCTAACACCTTTTATAGCTTTGTCCTCCCCTGCTTTTCTGTCAAAGGCCTCCTCACTCCCTACGTTCATATACTCTAACCATTCCAGCATTGCCTTATTCACAGTCTCCCCAGGACACCTTCCATCTCTGTTAAACTGGATACCATTTCTGGACTTCCACACCTGCCATAGAATATTTATAGTAAGAACTATGTGATCCCTCCCCTCAACTCTCTCTTTGGCATCCATCAGACCATTCCACCAAAGCCAAAAATTGTGTCTGAAGTCCAACAATCCATCCCATCTAACAGATGTAGCTTTCCAAATCAATTTTGCATGTCTGCAAAAAAAGACATATGTTCTAGAGTTTCTGTCTTCTCTCCACAGCATACACATCTATCATCTCCTTTTCCAGTTCTCCTCTTCAATACCTCATTTACTGGCAGTATTCTCCGTAAACATTTCCATATAAAATGTTTTAGTTTATTTTTGGTGTTTAGACTCCATAAAAATTTCCAAGCTCCAGAGTTTTCTTCATTTTTGCTGTTATTCCCCTCCCCATACTCAGTCTGCTCCTTCCTGTTGTTCATCTCTTTAGCCATTACATAACCAGTTTTGACTGTGTACTGTCCAGAGAAAGATCTTGGCCAAACTAGTCTATCCTTGCTTCCACATGCACTCAGTGGGATACTCCCTATCCGAGCAGAGCATTAAACAAACAAAATCATTTACTGCGCCTGCAACTCAGAGTAGACGAAAGTATGGTTGCAACCATAGTTATTAAACTTGGTACGGAAAAGAGACTCGCGAAGGAGGAGGATTAACGGGTCACTGGTTCAATCAGTGGATGAGTGATTGAATCAGTGGGTCACTAAATATATTTAAATATTATATCTTATAATTTTTTATATAGGATATATGATATAAATTATTTTACGCATGAATAATAATTTTTACTTAATGTTATAGGAATTATTACTAAAATGAATATTTTCTCACTAAAAAAAGTATATATTTAATTTACTTTCAAAAAATGCAACACACACATGTACATATATAGATATACACATACATACATACACACATTTATACATACATACATGCATACATGCATGCATACATACATATGTAAGTTTCACACCGAGAATTTGAGATTGGCAAAAGGGCACAGTGACCCACGTGTCGACATATGTATGTATGTATGTATGTGTGTATATGTATCTGTATGTGTGCATGCATAACAGTGATATTATATATCGGTTAAGTATATACCTTTTTTCTATAAAAAATATTGTATTTTTAGTGATAGTTCCTTATCACAACAAATGGAAATTAAATATTTATAAAAATTATTTGACATTCAATTTTGTTTCTTTCTCATTATTCATAATTCCTTTTGATATTCAAATATACATTGGTATTCTCTTCGGAAAAAATTAAATAGTATAATTCATCACAACTAAATATTTTTAGTAAAAATAATTTATGTAATTTTTATGGGGTAATTTCAGAAACCTCCCCTGAGGTTTCTGACACTTTCACTGACCTCTCTTGAGGTTTTAAAAATTATATTAACATCCCTTGTTAGAAATTTGGGCCCATTACTTAAATAAGATAAGTGAAAGTACTACTTTGCCCTAAGACATTATGCATTATTACAAATGGATATATGACAAAAAAAAGATTAGGGGACTAAATAAATAAGATTAACTAATTAAACCAAAATAATGATTATTTCATCTCAAATTAGCAACCATAATTACAATAAAAAAATTGCATCAATTGCTATCCTAAGATGGCGCTATTTTTGTGATTGATATCACTTGAAAATAATCAGGACAAACAACCTTATATAATCTACATAGATAGATCTTATGAGCAAGAGAAATAGAAAATTTTTTGATTGACTTATTTTGTTGAATCTTGTGACAAAATAAAACTATTCATGCCTTTTGTTGCTGATTTATTGACTAAGACTTGTATGTTTTCTGCACCAATACTTTTACTTTCACCTCGTCAACTATAATAAAAAGATTATTTATTTTACCCAAATTTAGATGCTTATACTAATAATTTAATGGCATTATAGAGTTAGTTGTGTTTTTTATATGTAGTTGCAAATGACAAAAAATATGACCATTACAATTTGCACTAGCTATGTGCAACGACCATTGTTGTTTCATGTTATAGTTGCTATATCTTTTCAAATTTTACATATATCCCTTGACTTTTATTAATTATTTTATTCTTTTCTAATACAACTTGAGGACAATTAGAAAAGAGTATACATGAAAGAAAATTATCATCTCACTCCTCAATATACTTTTTTAATAATACTTTTTTTTAATTGGATTGATTTTGTTACCAAAATCTTAAGTTCAAGGGAGTTTAGTATAATTTTTAAAACCTTAAGAGAGGTCAGTGAAAGTGTCAAAAACCTCAGAGGAGGTTTATGAAATTATCCCATTTTTTATATCTACAATTGTATCACCATTTGCTAGAGAGTACAATGTTCTTTACTAGTAGAATATAATAACACCACTCTTGAAAATAATAGAACTATCAAAGTATTATGTATTTGAGGGCATAAATGTCTTTCACCCTTCTCCTGTACCGAAACTCTGAGCCACTCGTCTGGTTGATCGTCTATAGGAAGTAATTTGCGACTCAACCCACGCTATAGATGGCAATTTATGCTTAATGTTTTATTAGATTGTCATAGCTTGATCTCTAGTTTCTATTAGCGTCCGATTTCTTGTTTGATAAACACATTCAGCTCTTTGAAATTGCTCAATAAAAGGAAGCTAACCCGAAGATATTCTTGTTGCCTAATTATAGATGATAAGTCCTACAACTTGACCAAAATTTCTTAGAAAATACAAAGTAAGGGAGCTCAGAGGCATAAATATTTACAAAAAGGAGTAATTGAGAAGGGAAAAAGGATGAGAATTTGATGAAAACCTTGTGTAAGTGCAAGACAAAAAATAGATGCAATGGTTTTTGAGTGATCAGCACCTTAGGTGTCAGTGCAAGATAAAAGCACAAGAATTCAACTTTTAAAGCAAAAATCTAAATATAATGTGGGAAAAAGAGTATAGGTGCTTTGCTCTTTGTTTTATTGTTAATTTTCACATGAAGGAGGTAACTTAACCAAAAGCCGCTCTACATAATGCTTTTTTATTTTCTAATAGGGCGATCTCTTCACCTTCAACGAACAATTGCCCAATCACGAGACAGTAATTTCGCGCATCGTGCGGTTGATTGGAAACAGATCTGCAACAAAAGAATATGTAGCTAAATGTTTGTACACTGTTGCATTGGGGAATAATGATTACTTCAACAACTACTTGTTGCCAGAATATTATCCTACAAGCCACCTATATACTCCAAGAGAATTTGCCAGCTTGTTAATTAGGCATTATTCTCAGCAACTACGGGTTGGTTTAGTTATTATTATGTTTACTTTTCTTTAACAAAATTCAGTTTTCGTTCATTATTTTCATGTTCACCAGGTATATAAATTTTAAAAAAATAAAGAAAAAGAAAATTAACTTGAAACCCTTTTGGTGCTAGACTTTGTACAGATTGGGGGCAAGAAAAATAGCTGTTTTTTCGGATTGGTTTGCTTGGTTGCATACCTGCTGAGTTATCTACAGATGGTAACTGTGTGGATTCTATTAACGATGAAGTTCTGTATTCAATGACAAGCTCAAGCCACTGGCTGATGAACTGAATACCGAATTAAACGATGCACAATTTCTTTATGTAGATGTGAGAGCAATCAATTTGAACAATTTTTCCACCCCTGCAGGTACGTTGAGCTCCCATTTTATTGGAACATTCTGTTTGATTGACAAAATAGATTCAACCTTAATAAATAATAAATACTGCATTCAAACAAATTTTGTTGAGGAGATCTTAGTTTATGTTTCTTTTTTTCTTTTTTTTTCCAACAAATGAAGTCATTGTATCAGTCCTGCTGTCTTACATTCCACTGTTTGCTTTGGCTTTTTTTTTTTTTTTTGCCGATTCTGTTCTTTCTTTTTAATTCAATCTTACACTTAATCTATTTCAGAAATTACAATTGGCAATGCACCATGCTGCAAGGTGTCTGCAACAGTTGCTGGTGGACAGTGTATTCCTGGACAAATTCCCTGCAGCAACAGGAACCAATATTATTTTCGGGATGATTTCCATCCCAGTGAAGTAGTAAATGAAGCATATTCAAGATTGGCATATTCTGTGTTATCCTCGTTACTTGATGCTGATCCTTTTGCCATTGGCAGCCTAGCAGGCAAAAACTACTGTCATGATAAAATGAAGATACAATAGACTGTATTTATGTGTCCCATGATATTTCTAATATTCCAAGTTTCCAACAAGTCAAACTCGATGTAATAAAACTTGAGAGTTCGAATGTGCTAGTATGATATTATCTCCTCGATGGAAACAATATGTTACCATTAATCTCAGACTATTTATGATAGGTAGCAATTCTATTACTTATTTTATTATTAATTTCCCCTATTATCTGACCGGATGTGGATTAATTAGTAGATTCTACTCACTTTTCGTAAATTGCATTTATTTCAGGGAGTAGAACGAAAATATGATAACAGGTACCAATTTGACAGAAAAGGGATGCAGATGATAGAGCTTGTCCAACGGGTATTTTTGGAAATGAAGATATCACGCCCATTTTGGTAAATTCCGCGAGGGAAGGACACCTGGGGGGGCTTGGTTCTGCTGAGGGCCGCCGCAATAAAAAGGAGTAAAAAGCTATGTTTTCAAACTCGGACCGGGACTCGACTCGGCAGAGGTCGGGGGTCAGGGGTCAATGGGTTCGACCGGGGTCGATAGGGGGTCGACTCGGATGACGTCATATATACGTCATATATATATATATATATATATATATATATATTATATACACACACACATACCTGCAAATCAAATTTACAAAATATAACCAAAGAACCCAGTCATCTAAATTTATATCTAATTCATCAAACAATTCACCAAATTCATCCAAACTCACAAATTTATAAAATAGAAATCCCATATATGTTCAATCATTAACAAATAGCAATCCAAATAAGGTAACAAGTTCATGTTCAAATGCTTGATAATATCAATCTAAATAAAACACCATGTTCCACAGAACTATCTAAGCCATTCTTCATCTTCATCCTCATCATCCTTATCTCCAATTTCATAACTTTCGAAGTCGATATCATCAACATCATCCTCATCATCAAGTTGCACAATATTTGTGTCTTTCTTATCTACAAATCATTTAAATACTCATAAATAAAAATATTCAAAAATAGACACAAATTAAAAAGAAACTTAAATAAAGTTAGCAAATATAAACTTACGTGATTGAGAGGCTTCATTCTCGCTAGTTTTGGGAAATTCTTCTTCAATCATTTCTTCTAACTCATCATAATCAAGCTCTCCTTCTTGTTCCTCATCAATTACCCAAAATTCAACTTTATCAATAGTTTCATAATCCACCGGATCATAAGACCTCTTTTTATATGAAAGCCTACAATGAAAAAAAGAGCAAAAAAAATAAAAGAAGTAAGTAATTTTAAAAAAGTAATAAATTTACAAAAGAAAGTAAGCATGTATAATAGTAATTCCATACCTATTCTTCAAACGTAAATTATAATGAATATAAACAAGATCATTCAACCTTTGATGCTCAAGTCTATTTCTCTTTTTGGTATGGATGCGTTCAAATACACTCCAATTGCGTTCACATCCCGAAGAAGAAGATGTTTGGCTCAAGAGTTTAATTGCCAACTTTTGTAAATGTGGAGCATCATTACCAAACAATTTCCACCACTCATCTATATTAGTAAGACATAATTAGTAATCTTTTTTTAAAAAAACCAACAAAAGTAATTCTTAACATAATCAATGTGAAATTAGAGTAGGCATACCTGGACGGGCAGTTTTGTGAGTATTTTGAGCAAATTCAAATCCAAAACTTTGATCCTTTGACCTAAACATTGATATTTCATCCATCATATATTGAAGTCCATCCATTTTTAGCTTTTGCATGACTTCTAAAACACTTTTCATAATCTCAGGCATGTGACAAGGGCTATCCTTATCATATTGAAAGGCCGGATTCAACCAAAAGGCAGCTGCATGAAGATCTTTTTTCAACATATTATCCCACCTCCTATCAATTATATCAATGTATGGACCATAGAACTTTTTCTTGTTCTTAAACAGCTCTTTAATGCCATTAACAACTCTCCACATGCCTTCATATACATAACCCAATGATGGTTTTTCATCAGAATCACAAATGCGCAACAAGCGCATAATTGGACCCATAATTCTCACAATAATCAAACAATTATTCCAAAACTTCCCATCAACAACAATTTGTTTGACTTCTTTACCTTTTTCATTTTTCAACTCTCTCTTGTATGCACTAGAAGTCACTAAAGCCTCCAAATGTTGTTTCAAATCATGAAGATTCTTCAAAGCAATAAAATTAGTACCAAATCGTGTTTCCGCAGGACGAAGAATCTCTCTCCAACCAGGCCTTTTTCTTAACCAACTAAGAATCCACTTTCGATTATGAACATACACAGTGACTCTTGAAGCAAGAGTAATTACATCTTTCACATGAGTCATTTCTCCAATATCTTTCATAATTAAATTCAAACAATGTGCTGCACAAGGAGACCAACTAATTGTAGGATATTTTTCAGAAAGTAATCGACCGGCAGCTTTATAATTACTTGCATTATCTGTGACCATGTGAACAACATTACTAGATCCAACAATCTCAACAATTTCTGAAAACAGATTGCACAAATATTCAGCATTAGACTCAAAATCTGAAGCATCAACAGATTTGATAAATGAGATCCCACTAGGACAATAGACCAAAAAATTGATCAAACTTCTTTGCCTATTATCCTTCCAGCCATCACCCATAATTGTGCAACCAGTTTCAGCCCATTTACTACGTAGATTGTCAACAATTAATTCAACTTGCTTCTTTGCATCTTTCAACAAAGTTACCCTTAAAGCATGATAACTAGGTCCTTGATAACCATGACCCATACTTGTTATTTTTCCAATTGCTTGTTGGTAATAGGGAGAATTACAAGCATTCATTGGAATACATGCATCATAAAACCACAAAGCTATAGCCATGTCAGTATCATGCCATCTCTCTTTACTTTGCATACAAGACTTGATACTCGGTTGAGAGTGATCAAGAGATTTACCTGTCATATAAGATTCAATGCCATGTGCCTTTCTTTTTCCCTTATTCCCACTCATGTTAGTTTGAGTCTTTGTTTTTGGATGAGGAATTTCTTGAATATCATCATCTTCAAATCCCGCTACACTTCGGCCCAATGGATTTCCAATTTCAAATATCCCTTTTTTCTCTTTTGCTTTTTTAACATTTTCGTTCAATGAATCTTCCATTATCTGCTGAACATCATTTGGCACATTTTTGCATGGAGCCACATTACCCTTTACTTTTGCAAGATGATGCTTCACTCGATTAATACCTCCCCCTCTAAAAATACTACTGCACCATTGACATATCAAAATTCTTCTACCTTGTGAATCTTGTCCTTCTATAGCATATCTCCAAGCTATATCAGTTTTTTGCCTAACATTTTCAGAACTTGACTTTGATGCCGATCCTTCATTTGTTGGTGTGGACTGTGAATCGGTACCTTCCATTGTCCTACATTAGAAAGAACATTGAAAATATTAAATAATTTAAAAAATCTCCTATAAATGAAAATCTACAGCAATTATGCATAGCCATATATGCACAGACATTAGCTATCATTAGCCATATGTGTACAGCCATTGAGTATGAGAAAAGAATATCAAAGCTAAAAGTATGTTGAAATTGAAGTCCGCAGGAACTATATGGTTTTTCAAAGGCTTGTTGGCAATGAATCCTGCTTGCTATGAATCCTGCTTGTTGGCAATGAATCCTGCTTGCTATGAATCCTGTTTTCAAACTCTATGAATCCTACTTGCTGCCACATGTAATAGATAAGCTTTACTTTTCTCTCTATTTGCCACTTGCATTATTCAATTCTGTTTAGGCCCTCGAGAAAGTTTTCATTTTCTGGTGTTCTATAGCCTATCAGAGGATGTGTTCTCCACTTATATAATTCTCATTAGTTTTTTCCTTCCAAAAAGAAAAGCAATTGTCTTATTCATTGTCAACTACTTGCTTTTCTATACTTAACTTTTTTTTTCTTCTCTATTCATTCAATTCAGAATGGGTTTTTCTATATTTACTTTCTTTTTTCTTCTGTATTCATTCAATACAGAATGGGTTTCCAAATTTAATTCTGATAAGGTTTTTTTTTTTACATCAATCTTGTTCATTGTCAAACGGTAGCCGAAGTAGCTCAAGATTAATATGATAGCAGTCTCTGCAGTAGTATTTAAACATTCAATTGAAAGAAGGAATTCATAAAATGCGAATGTACTTTAGAGTGCTCTTAATGATTCGAGAAAATATGTATTGATAATTTAAGCAAGTGTCATGAAGCATTTCTTGTTAGATTTTTTCCACCCAAGAATTGCAATACAAAGTATAAACCAGAATATGAAGTTAAATGTTCAAATATCAAATACATATATAAACTAGTACCAGTTCACTTTCACTGTTAAATCATACATGTTAGTGATCGTTCACATTAGCTACTCATTGGGGGTTTTGCTCTTCCTAAGCCAGCCACATTGGATTTCTTTTTCACTCTTTTAAGTGTGATAAAACCCGGCCAGTCAACAAAACCTGATGGAACGTGGTTAAAATAACTGGGATTAAAGGTTGGGTTTTCTTATCATTTTGGTAAAGATGTTCCATTGATTTTTCCCAGGCTTAAGCGCGAACAATATGATCAATTGTTCTTTTTATCCTTGTTATGTTGCCATTCTTTTATCAAGTCTAATGAAAGTCTGAAAAGGAGGATGATAGATGAGAAATCGATCACCAAACCTGTGGAACTCCCTGTCCAGTAATATTTGTTTAAGCAGAAAAGCCTAACAATGGTGTCTTATGGCACGCAACCTGGAAACTTCCAATCAGTAACGGGGAAGGCCACATTTTGTCAGGCCAAAGTTTATATACCTTATTCCTATAAGCTAAGACAGGGTTCAGATTCATAAACCAGTAATGTAAAATCTCCAATTTAACGAAACATAATCAGTCAACATTTTATCGTTTTATAATGGATAAAACCATTAAAGCTCATGGTTAACAAAAATAGAAGGTCTAGCTATTAAAATGTGCATATGATTGGGGGTGCTAAATTATAGGACCTGGAGGTTTATCATACTTGTCTGTCCTCTCAAAATCATCTTCCATTCAAAGTAATCCTCATCCATTTCATCCCTTCCATGTAATCCTCATCCATTTCATCCATGTAAAAATGGTAGAAAGTTTTTAACATACGCCATAATAGTTTAGTTTTTGAAAAATCACAGGCGTCATATTCGGGCAACAATAAATTTGCAAACTGATACATTTGTCTTTCATCTAGGTGATTCAGTTAGCTGGAAAGGGAGAAACGTGCATAAAAGAAAGGGAGAGAACTGAGAACAGAGCACAACAGTTGTGGCCTTCGTATTAGTTTCACACCCGCAATATCCAATCCCGAAGGCCCAGCATAATGAATCAAAAAATTCCAGCCACATATCAACTTTAGCATAACAAATCAGCAATAATAGCCTTCAGATTGGAAAAATTACCAGATTTAGGCTTTAGCTTCAGTTCACCCGCTTGCTAACTACTTGTTTCTCTTGAAATCTGAACGAACTGGTGGTGTTGCGGCGGTGGAGGCCAGAGATTGAAGGCTGTGGATCTCAAGAGCGATGGAGGCCAGAGATCGGCGATGGATCTCAAGAGCGGCGGTGGTGGCTGAACTGCTGTGGTTATCGGCGAGGTTATTGCCTATCGGCTGAAGAAGAAACACTCAAACAGAAGCTCACGAAAGCTTTTGTCAATTTTGCTCTATTTTTTCAGTCAATTTTTAGCGTTTTTAGTTGGTCAATTTGTCAAAGTCTGACCCAAAAAAAGGCCGAAAATGGAAAAAAATAAAAAACCGGAGTTAACCAAAAATTCCGGTTCACCGGTCCAACCCGAGTTATGACCGAGTTTGACCGGTTTTTTAACAGCCGAGTTTTTTAGCTAGCTCGGACCGGATGCCTGGCCGGTTCCCGGTCCAACCGGTCCGACCGGCCGGTCCGGTCCGAGCCTGAAAACACAGGTAAAAAGAAGGAAGTTGGGCGGCGAGTTTTTTCTTAGCTTTCTCGGCTGTAGCTTAGCAGAAATGTTTTGACTCTTCTTGACTTGGACTTTTCTTGTTAGTTTTCCTTTGGCTTTTCTCCACGCATGTGAGGAGGAAGCAACTTTTTCTTTTAGCTTTGACTTTTCCTCCTTGTACCGCTGGAGTGGTTTTGCTATACGGATGCTGGGAATAATAAATAGATTCAATTGCTGCTTGAGACTTTCATTTGCGTTCTTTCTGTTCGACGAATTGCAACTTCCTGAAACGCAGACAATGGTCGTGACTTCTGCTGAAATTTCCCGCGGGCGTAGTTCATCCAATATGAGCTAATCCCCTCACTCTAGTCAAGAAACGACGGATGCTTTGGGTTACCTAAAAATTGTGAGATCGATTTAATTTAATCTTTCCCTTTTAATTATTGGTATTCGCATATTCCTTGATTGCAGTGCTTATGATTGTTCAATTAATTGGTTGTCTTGGATCCGGATAATTAATTGATTTGGTAATCTATTGTCAATTAGGGCATTAAATCCGTAATTGTTTAATTGCTCTAAAATAGTGACAACTGGCATGATTAGGTTTGTGTTAGGGGAATACGCGGGCTAATCTAAAATAACCCTGGTAGTGCGTTATTTGGTTAGAATAGGGCTCCTCTAATACGTAAGGCAATTGGGGAATTAAATCCTATGGGCGTACCAAGGATTATTTCTCAATTAGAGCAGTGATTAACGGGCGTACCTTGATCACCGACACAGTAAGGAGGGGTTGACTGTCATCGCTTGTTTGGTAGTTATAACCTATTTATTGATAAATAATTGGAATTGGCTTTGCATCGATGATCAATTAGGTGAACCATTGCTGAAGTTATTTCTTGGCTAAATCCTTAATTATTACTCATTTGATTTTAATATTTTGTTATTTAATTTTTAGTAGTTTCTTAGATTTTATTTGGATTTCTTTGAGTGTCACCTTCTACACAAAAACACCCCCCTTTGTCACTGTGAATTTGAAAAGAAACAATTACTCCCAGTCCCTGTGGATTCGACCCTGCTCACCGCTATCTACAGAAATTACTTTTAGTTTGAGCAGGTTTTATTATTGCACAGGCTTCGACAACCTGTCAATTTATAATTACTATTAGAATTGTGTAAAAGCCTGATGTTTGTGTAGAATCCTCGTTCAGAATTTATTAAGTGTTCTTATAGTTCTAAAAGACCTTTATGTAATCACATGTTTGAGTGAGGATTCAAACCATGGCTTTATTAGTCCAAAAGACCTCGTTAATTTGTTTCATGAGATGACACAAGGTTAAATTATTAATATTATGTTATCCCATATTTAGTTACTTTTATGCAATTAGACATTTCATTTTACCAAGTTAATCCCTCATTCGTAAGATAAAATAATCTTACATTGGAGGTGATAACAGTTTTTCCAAGATAAATAAGGGGTGGGATTATACCATGTTCAACTAGTTTGCCCCTGTGATTGTTTTAACCCTAACACTCTCAAAACTATATAACCTACTTAAAAAAATAAAAATTAGGAGGGGTGAGATTTAGAAAGTGAGGTGGCGAAAAGAAGATTTGAACTCATAATTTCTACATCCTGATACTATACATTAAAATCGAACCTTAATAAAATGTTAGTGGCCCAAGCCCAGCCTGCTGCAAGGTTTCTCTCTCTCTCACACACACACACACGCATATATATATAAATTAAGACCCAATGTGAGCCCACTTCATAGTATTGATTCGGTATGAAATTGGACCAATGTATATCTGTATACAATTATCTTATTTATTTGACAATATGTAATCGGTCAAGCCTTATTTGGACTAACCTAACTTAGCTCAAACTTGACCCATATTTTTAGTCGGACTGCAAGTTGAGATTCAAGCCAGCGCTGTTTTTAAACGAGCCGAATGTGTCGACTTTAAGCCGATAACATATTATAAATCCTACAAGGCTTGAATTGCTCAAAGAAAAAAAAAAGAGCTAGTATAAATTTTCATTTTTCATATTAATGTATATAATTGTGAAATTTATTCAATTCATTTTTTTAAAAATTATTTTTTGAATTGGAAAATAGAAGTACTGCTCATCGCAAGTATGTTGGTCTCTATTAAAGCAAGGTTATTTCTAACTAAACAAGCAAAATAAGTGATTCAATTCATTCAATTCGTTAACCAAAGGAAAAGAGTTTAGGATGCGCTAATGGCCCGTGAATTTGATTTTTTTTGGTGCTTTTTCTGTTTTAGACAAAAATTTACTTTATTAACAAACAAAAATACCAGCTTAGACTTTGTCGAGAGTAACTTGAATTAATGAATAAAGTTCAGGTTTTTCGTTCATGTTTACTCTACAAAACTCAATGACCAGGAAAACACTTTCCTGTTCGTGTACAGAGTTCAGTTGTTTAAGATGTGTCGAACTTCAAACTTAGCGGTGGAGCCAAGACTATTTTCAGTTGGGCACAAGCGAAGGAGAAATTTTAGTTTCGTGAATAGAAGCAGAAGTGCAGAACTCCAAAATCTTTTAATGAAGTGAAAGAGACATTTGCAGTGCATAACATACTGTAGTGGGGCCAATCTACGTACGCCACGTATCAACTCGTATGCGGCAGCTCGGACGGATCAGTTCGGACATAGTGGGCACCAGTTCGGCCGTTTCCACCGCCATTCAGCCATGTGTGCTTAATGGGCCGTGCCTCCCGCGCCTTTCGGAATTAGCAGGTGAAACCCTAGAAAGACTCCCCCTTGACCAGGACTCGTAGTCCTATAAGGAAACTCTCACTCTCAAGCCTATAAATATAGCATCACAAGACGACGCAACGTACGCCTTCAACAGTACTTTATACTGCTACTTTACTCTCCAACTCTTGCTGACTTGATCGTCGGAGTTATTCTGGGGAACCAAGCCCCGCCGTTTCTCCCTTTGCAGGTCGGTCCGCTTGTTCACCTTCTGTTAGCTCGGCCATTTCCAGTCAATTCGGCTCGCAGCAGCTCAGCTCGGATCGCATTTCTGGACAGTCGCATCAATTGACGCCGTCTGTGGGAACGAAATTCTTCTCTTGCGAAAACATGCCGAGGACTCGATCTCAGAGGAACGCCGACGAATCTAAAGGGAACGAGCGAAGTAACCCTCAGCACCCTGGTGAAGATCAAATTCAGGGGAACGAGGGGGACGGGCTCTTGCGGATCCCGCCCGAACAGCTGGTGCAAACGGTGGCGGCAAATCTACCTACTTTCGAGGTGATTATGAACTACCTCAAAGAACAAGCCAGAGGCCAACAGGATCAGGAGCCCAAGACACGGAGAAAGGGAGGCGATGGGCCTTCGGAGTCTAGGACGGGAAGCCCCAATCCCCGACAGAAGCGGGCAAGGAAGGAGTTCAGGCGAGAACAGATCGAAATCCAAGAGCCCTCTCACAGGAACTCCCGAACTGAACACCCGGAGCTCTTCCGGGGGTTCTCGCGGAGGGAGATCTCCCCAAAGAGAGATGAACACCAGGTGCGGGACGAGCTGGATCTTCTGTTAGATCCGGAGGCGGACAAATATATCGCCTCCCCCTTTGTGCCCGACATTTAGGACTACCCGCTGCCCGCAAAGTTCAAAATACCGAACATGAAATCCTACGATGCAACCACGGATCCAGAGGATCACCTGTTCGCATTTATGATGCAAATGCGCCTATAAACGGTCGCGGATGCGATCGGATGCAAGACCTTTCCGATGTTCCTGGAGGGAAAGGCGTGTCAGTGGTTTCAGAGACTACCCCTAGGTCAATCCGGTCTTTCGCCCAGCTCGCACGACTGTTCTCAGCACAGTTTATCTCGTCGCGAGCCTTTTCCAAGGGTGCGGCTCACCTGATGTCGATCCATCAGAACCCCAAGGAGTCACTGCGTGAATACATGGTGCGATTTAACAATGAGTCCCTCCAGGTCCGGGATCGGGACGATAAGGTCGTCATGGCCGCTTTCATCAATGGGTTGCGCAAGCAAAAGCTATACACTGAGTTTGTGGAGAAATCTCCCCAGTCAGTTCAGAAGATGCTTGACCGAGCTCATGAGAAGGCTAATGCAGAGGAAGCCAATCGCTTAAAGGGCGCGCAGGAAAGAACACCTTCGACCGTCGACCCAGGAGCAGCCCCTGGTCGGGTGCGAACAAGCCCTTCGAGAGAGAGAGAGAGCCTGGACTTCCCTCACAGTGCCCAAGGCCCAGGTCCTTGCGGTAATGGAGCAGGAGGGCCTCTCTCGGTCTTCCCCACAGTTGATCGGTGACAGGAGCTGACGAGATCGGAGCCTGTATTGCGCCTACCACAGTGACGTAGGACATAATACTGAAAATTGCCATCACCTCAAGAAAGACATCGAGAAGCTGATCAAACGAGGGCACCTGAGTCAGTTCATACAGGGTGGACGAACAGACCAGAAATCAGGAGGGTATAAGCGCGAACGCACGAGCTATTAGCGCGATCGGCCTCAGGATCCCCATGACCGAACTCCCCAGCTAGAGGTGTGCAGAATTTGGTCGGGGTGATCAACACCATTGCAGGGGGACCAGTGGGAGGAGATAGTCATACGGCACAACGTAGTAATCGCCCCCTCCTGATGGAGAGAGCTCGAGCAAACGATTGAAGATGTATGAGGA